TTCCAAAAGAATCTTGAATTGAATTTTCTACTGAGGGAGGTTTGTCATTTTAGCGGTAGATCCTGGACGTCTGGTAAGAAGAAATCGAATTCTTTTGACAAACAGTGATATAATAATAGTAAAACTGCATTTGAAGAATATAGCATATCTAGTAATCATCTTTGTTTTCTTTTAGCCTTTTCAATCATGAAATATATCAATAAAATTTAGTTTAAATTAAAAACAACTTTATAAATTATTTCGTCTTTTTTCATTGAGCTTACATAATTAGTCAAATTTGTACACAAAACTTTCTATGTAGAGAATAAAACAAACGACTAATCGATCAAATTAATATTTATAACTTACAATCAAACTATATTTTCGGCATAGGTCATAATAATGACAAGGAATAGGTAATTGAGAAAAAAAAATATGTTTGTTTTTTCATAGGTGTTGAGTCGGTTCTTCAAGTCAATGTTGTTGTCGATTAGTAGATAATGATGAGTCAAGACTTGTTAATGTTGGACATATGTAGTTCATATACAGAAGATTCACTAGTTGTTAGTTGACGAGAACAATATGGTATCGATACTCTTTATTTTTCAGATATAAATAAATAATGAATAGATATGGATGAAATCAATTTTGATTGAGTGTCATGATGATAATTAAGATCATATAATTTTTGTATTTTACTATTGCTAATGATAGCGTAGCAAAGGTATAGAGCTGAAGTGATATACATGATTTTGATTTTAAATAGTTATAAAAATTTCGTGCAGAAAAAGGTTCTTTACAAAACAATTACTTTCTTCGATGTGTCATGTGAACAGTACAAGCACATCTCTTCGTGTATTTTCGGACTCTTCGTTCTCGGGATCATCGCAATAGAAAATGATAGCGTTCAATGCTGATGTCTAGTAGGTAAAAACCACAAGGAAAACGCACAAAAGACTTCATAAAAGCGATATGAAGCGATCTTAATTTTTGGCAATGTAATTTCAATTACCATAAAATAATGATAAACGATTTCTCCTACTAACAACAACTGATTGAAGAGTATTTCACCAATTTTAATTATCTCGGGTAAAAGATGGAGGCCAAATCGTCAAAATTAGTGTTTTGTGGAACTTACTGAAGAAAAAAGGAAAACTCATATTGAAGATTCAAAATCGTTTGGATCATCTCAAGACATCAATCTTCCTGACATAGTTCGAACGAATTTCTATCAACTTATCTTTCCCTAGAATATCGCGACACAAGATACAGATTTTGTTACCGCAAAAAAAGTCAATTCTACGAATTTATCTGAATATCTCACAGAAAATCAGTGTCCTATTTCAAATATTATCGTGCAATAGAGGACTCATTGAGCTATTTTTTTCATATAGAAGATATAGTTACTTTTTTCGAATGTGATCAGATACCAGACGATATTACTAAAGCGATCATTATAATCATTATAAAAGGTGCAGAGATTTTCTTTTTTTCGTGCTACAAGACTTCACAACCCATACATTGTAAAACTCAGATTAGATAAGTACAAATATGATTGTCATAATATTTTACAAGTTCGAAAAAAGTTGCGGCATCGTTTTTCGGGACGTTTTGTCCCCTGTAACAAACATTTTAAATCAAATTCTTTTGTACATTTTTGCACTAGACACGTTGCTCTTTCTAACAAAAAAGAAGAAGAGATCTCTACAATATCCTATTACACTGCTGTATCAAAAAAAACTAATGCAGAACTTTCGCATCACTCGTTAGTTTCAATAGCTAAATAAGAGAATTAATCATTAGAAGCCCTTTTTTTGGGTTCGGGAATGGTAGCTGATTATCATAGAAAACCATTCATATTTTGAGAATTTCTTCTCACAAAAAAGCATCGGATCGAACTGAAAGTTTCATAAAGTACATCACTCATGTTGAAAAATCGTGTCTGCTTGCGTTGCCAATTAGATCAATGTTTAGAATAATAATAATGTTGGATTAAGACAAACAGAATACATAAATGAACGATACCAAGCAAATAGCAACACGAACGCATAAAAATCGAGAACCAGTTATAAAAATCCATAGAAAACATTTCTGTTCAAAATGCAGAAATAAGGAGAATGAATCATTTCTCTGGTGATCGATGGTCTTGGGTATGGGTGTGGGTGTGGGTGTTAATCTTCCCTTCATTCATACCCACACCCACACCCTCCGAATGTTGAACGATGATTAGCATTTGAAGCTGAACAAGATCCAATGAATTTCGATCAAGAGCAAACATGGCCAACTAGACAAGATATTCAACAATCTGAACATCAATTAAAAAAAACGTGTACCTAAAGGAACTTCTCAATATCAAACTACATGGATTATTTCTGATGATGAAGATAATCAGTCTCTCAATCAACAAAATGTTTAGTTTTTTTTTTAATATTAAATCTTTTTCAATATATTAGGATTTTGATGAAGATCATCAAGAAATGATGACTGATTATGCTGATGATCTACAATCAATTAAACTTGATCAACAAGAACATGAAGAAGAAATCAATGAACTTTGTATGAATCGAAATAGTTATGATGAAAAAAACAGTCTTATAAGATAAACAAACGTTTGTTTTATATATCTGATTATATTTATTTTAATTAAAATATTTAATTTAGTTTAAAAAAATTGAAAGAAGCTAAATTAGATGAATAATTTTCTGATGAAGTTGATGCACCAATGAATGTTCCGGCTAGTGTTAAATTTCAAAAGTATTTTTTTAATATTTATCTAATTATATTTTATTGTTCTGAAAAAGATATCGAGGTTTAAAAAGTTTTCGAACAACAAAATGGGATCCAAAAGAAAATTTATCATATGATTATGGAAGAATTTATCAATTTCCTAATTTTCATACTATGATTAAACAAATCTGAAAGTGGACAAGAATATAATCAACATAAACAAAGGTCGTGCTCAGGTTAAACTTTTTCTTTTTAAATATATGTATATATCTAGTTTTATCAATCAATTAATTCATCAAGAGATTTTATTGAAGAATTTTTTAAAAATTATCCTTAAAAAACGATTATGTGCATATCATATAGAAATATTCTTTTGTGCTTTTTCCTATTCTTCTAAAGTTGGTTTTATGTTTAAATTTATTTTGAATAGATTTTCATAAAAAAGAAACAAATATTTAATAATGTTGACAATGAATTTGTTTTGTCATCATTGACATTTATTAATCATCGAAGTTTTATCTGAGTATCAGATAAAGAGAGAAGAAATACGGAATGATTGTTCTTTCCTTGACAATTCTTTATCGATTTTTCTCAGTAGAACTACGATCATTTCTATTTACCAAAATCTAAAATCTAACATTGTTTATCTCTAATTAAGTGCGAATACTCGTAAAAGATAATCTATCCAATTATTTTCAATAAAATGTGTTGAAAGCAGTTGCGATCGTCTTCTCCAACTAAATTTCGAACAAGTTTAGCAGATTGATAATATTGTCGAATTAATGACTAAAATCTAAATATTCTATGATAAATAGATAATTGTAGATTTCTGAAAAAAATTGATTTTATTCTTAAATACAAATTTGTTTGAATAATGTTGTTGATCAGAATTGAAAAGAAAAAAAGTGTTTTTGATACTGATCTATCATCATTAGTCAACAAATAGTAAATTGTTTTTTCTAAATGAGTTCGTTTCTGATCAAAAAACAAATTTTATTATTGATCAAATTGATAATTCACAATTTATTTAAATCAAAATCTGAACATCTCATACGACTTTTTTCAGTTCTTTTTCAAATAAATCTTTTTATTCAATTTCGAAGCAAAAGTTTTTGACTGAGTTTGACAGTAAAAAAAAGAAAGGTTAGAGAGTGATAATCTGATTGTTGAAATTTATGATTTCGTGCAGGTAGATTTTCAATGTTTCATATATTTAAGAATGAAGAAAAGTTTTGTGTTCTATATAAATGTAATTAACTTTTTAATAATTATATTTACCGAAGATTTTTTTTTCCAAAGATTTTATTTGATGAAATACTTATTTTAATTTGTATAGTTGTTACAGGTGCATAGTTATGTAACCCTTTATGTAAAAGATGTGCCCATCAGTAGATTTGTTAAGAACAATTTTTTTATAAAAAAACAAATATTCGAGAAAAAAAACTTGTTGTTATTGTTTTTTCTAAAAGAATCTGTTCATCATTTATTTGTAACGGGTCTTTTACCACATGAACAATGTTTATCATTAAATCGTACAAATGATAGTGAAATAATTGTTAAATCAAAAGAACGTCTTATATTTCATGTTGGTTTTTGTCGTTTTTCAAGTTCAACAATTTATTCTCAACATTCAAATTGAGATAAACATAAAATTTGTTACTAATTGATTATTATAATAATTAATATAGATAAGAATATTTTAAATTAGTTTGAAAGATTTTTTTGGTCACGATAAACTCTTGTTGCAACATGTTTTGGCCCAATAACATACTCATCTGCATCGGTCTTGGCATTTAAACAATTTCCTGATAGTATTTTATTCAATTTTTTAAATTAAAAAAAAAACTTAATTTTGCTTTTTGTTAAATAAAGGTCGTCAAGAATTAGTAGCAACTAGTTCTCTTCTTTCAGTTAATTCTGATTTGATTACTTTTTCTTGTTAAAATTTCTATTATTTATTATTTAAATAGACGATGTTAATTGGTTTAAACCAATAGAATTACGTACAAGATGAGGTCGACGAGGACATATTAAAGAATTACTTGGTTTGTTATTTATTGTTATTTATTAATTAAATATAAAGATAGGATTTATTTTAATATAAACGTACACATGGTCATATGAAATGTCTATTTGATGGAATTTTTAAATCACAGAATACTGTATTTATGAATCTCTGTAAAAGTGTTCATCCGAAATATGAAGATATGAAACCATTGTTGATTCAACAACAAGAAAATAATGAAGAAGATATTCAATAATTCGTTTCGTTTCGTTTTATATCGTTAAATGTTTTTCTTCGAAAATAAATAAAAAACAAAAATTTTACATAAAGAAATTCTTTTAAACAATATTTTCGAATTGTTAAAATATATATAATTTGCTAGTATCATTCACATTTATTTC